TTGAAGTGTTGTGAAGGCAACTCAAATTATGCCTGTTGTGCTGGAAATACTAATCAAACCTCAAATGTAACATGTCCCTGTGCTTCATGTTCAGAAAAACTTGCAGACAAAATTAATTATGGCTTCAAATTAACTGGTGGAATAGGCCTCTTCTTTAGCTTTACAGAGGTAAGTTTTAGGTGCTAATAACATTAATTTGAATCAAAGTGCTTTGTTTCACTTTTTAGGTCACCTGAGTAAACTCAGGTGACCTATTGCTATCCGTTTTCGTTCGTCGTCGTGCGTCATCCGTTGTGGGTAAACATTTGAACATTTTCAGTTTCTTCTCTGCAACCGCTCAACCTATATCAACCAATTTTGGCACAAAGCATCTATGGCTGGGTGAAGGAAAACAAAATTGTGAATTTTATGGTCCCTGCCCGCCTGGGGCCTGAGGGGTGGGGCCAAAACCACTAAAATCAATGCAATCTTTAAAAATCTTCTTGTTTACTCCTGGACATCAAGCAGTCAAACTGTTTGCATGATTGTAATCAGCATTGAGTCCTCTAACAAAATTTTGAAATTCATGGCCCTGGGGTTAGGGGTTCTATTGCTAGGGCGGGGCTTAATAAGTATATAGTGAAAATGCATTATTTCTTTGAAAATCTTCTTCTCTGCTCCTGGGTATTAAATAAACTAACTAAGTGCATAGTTATGATGAGGAAGAGAGCCTCTACCAAAATTGTGAATTTTATGGCCCCAGGGTCAGGGGTTCTGGTGTTAGGGCGGGGCTCTTTAGATTATATAGTGAAAATTCATGAATTCTTTGAAAATCTTCTTCTCTGCTCCTGGGTATTAAATAAACTAACTAAGTGCATAGTTATGATGTGCAAGAGTGCCTCTACCAAAATTGTGAATTTTATGGCCCCAGGGTCAGGGTTCGGGTGTTAGGGCGGGGCTCTATTGATTATATAATGAAAATGCATGAATTCTTTGAAAAAATTTCTTTTCTGCTCCTAGGAATTAAATAAACTAAGTACATAGTTATGATGAGCAAGAATACCTCTTCCAAAATTTTGATTTTATAGCCCTAGGGTCAGGGGTTCTAGTGATAGGGCGGGGCTCTATTGATTATATAGTGAAAATACATTAAATCTGAGAAAATTTTCTTCTCTGCTCTTGGGTATTAAGCAGATGAACTACCTATGTAGTTATGATGAGCACCAAGGACCCTAATCTTCCAGAATTGTGAATTTCAAGGCCCCAGGGTCAGGGGTACCAAAGGGGGGGGTGTACTTATATACTGAAACTGGATGAATTGTTTGAGATCTGCTCCTTGGTATTAATCAAATATTTTTGAAAAGCAAGGGTGCCTTTTCAAAAATTTTGCAATGTGTGGATCTAGGACTAAGGGTCAGGGGTTCATGTTTGATAGGTCATTACTGATTATTGCTGAATATTACTGATTACTTGAAATGCATTTTTTGTTCCCCCACCCTGCCTATGGGTACTAAGTAAACAAACTAAGCAACTGCTAGGTGTATTGTTATGATGATCAATGGTGCCTCTTTCAAAATTGTGAAAGCCATAGCATCTGGCTTAAACATGAATCAAATTAAATCGCTGGAAAGTTGTTGCATAATGCTCAGGTGACCTATAAGGCCCATGGGCCTCTTGTATTTCAATGACATATATCGGGTGCCCGGGTTTAAAAAATCGAAGGCGTAGTACTTCTAAGTTAGGATTGAAGTGGAGAAGGAAAAAAAGTCAAAATTTCAAATCAAAATGATTTTTCAAAAAATTCTCATGATCATGATAATTTTTTTATTGTATAATACAAACCTGCAATTTTTTATGCACAAAATTAGAACTAAAGATATTCAGTCTTGAGATCTAAGCTGAAAGCACAAATGACCTTTCAGATTACTTTTCGTCAGTTGTCCATCAGTATGTCTGTAAGGAATGGGTGAACTTAACACCCTATTTTTAGCTCTACTGGTCAGAGACCAGAAGAGCTTATGCGATAGTAATGCATCCGTTGTCTGTCCGTCTGTCTAGCTGTTTGTCTGTAAATAATTTTTTACTCCTCCTACAGTTTTGGTCTGATTTCAATATGACTTGGCACATAAGTAGACTACACCAAGATTCATAATTCTACATATCGGTTTTTGATTTCGATGAACAGTTTGCCATGGTAACTAAAAATAGAAATTTTTGTGAAATAATTTAAAAATGCTACTCCTCCTAAATTTTTAGTCTGATTTCAATTATAACTTGGCACACAAGTAGCGTACACTGAGATACATAATTCTATTTATTAGTTTTTGATTTCGATGAAAGGTGTTGCCGTGGTTACTAAAAATAGAAATTTATGTAAAATACTTCAAAATGCTTTTCCTCCTACAAATTTGGTCTGATTTCAATAAAATTTGGCACCTAAGTGGAAGACTACACTAAGATACATTATTCTATATATCGGCTTTTGATTTTGATAGAAAATAGAAATTTCTGTGACATACTTTCAAAATGCTACTCCTCCTACAGTTTTGGTCTGATTTCAATATGACTTGACACACAAGTAGACTACACTAAGATACATAATTCTGGCTATCGGTTTTTGATTTTGATGAACAGTGTTGCTGTGGTTACTTAAAATAGAAATTTATGTGAAAAACTTTAAAAATGCTACTCCTCCTAAAGTATTGGTCTGATTTCAATATAACCTGGCACACAAGTAGACTATACTGAGATACATAATTCTATTAGTTTTTGATTTCGATCAACGGTGTTGCCATGGTTACTTAACATAGAAATTTATGTAAAATACTTCAAAATGCCACTCCTCCTACAGCTTTGGTCTGATTTCAATATAACTTGGCACACAAGTAGACTACACTAAGATCAAAATTCTATATATCGGTTTTTGATGTCAATGAATGGTGTTGCCTTGGTTACTTAAAATAGAAATTTCTGTGAAATACTTTCAAAATGCTACTCTAAATAGAAATTTCTGTGAAATACTTTCAAAATGCTACTCTAAATACAGTTTGAGTTTGATTATGCTATAATTTGGCATATGAGTAGACTACACTGAGATACATAATTATCAGTTCTGTATTTTTGATTTTGATTATTAGCTCACCTGAGCCGAAGGCTCAAGTGAGCTTTTCTGATCAAAATTTGTCCGTCGTCTGTCGTCGTTGTCGTAAACTTTTCACATTTTCATCTTCTTCTCAAGAACCACTGGGCCAATTTCAACCAAACTTGGCACAAAGTATCCTTGGGTGAAGGGGATTCAAGTTTGTTCAAATGAAGGGCCACGCCCTTTTCCAAGGGGAGATAATCATGATTTAGAGAAAAATTATTGGCATTTTTAAAAAATCTTCTCCTCAAGAACCACTGGGCCAGGAAAGATGAAACTCATGTGGAATCATCCTCAGGTAGAGTAGATTCAAGTTTGTTCAAGTCATGACCCCCGGGGGTAGGGCGGGGCCAAAATGGCCGATCAAAGTTTTACATAGGAATATATAGGAAAAATATTTAAAAATCTTCTTCTTAAGAACCTTGTAACAACAACTGGGCCAGAAAAAATGAAACTCATGTGGAATCATCCTCAGGTAGAGTAGATTCAACTTTGTTCAAGTCATGACCCGTGGGGGTAGGGCGGGGCCAAAATGGCCGATCAAAGTTTTACATAGAAATATATAGGAAAAATCTTTAAAACTCTTCTTCTCAAGAACCACTGGGCCAGGAAAGATGAAACTCATGTGGAATCATCCTCAGGTAGAGTAGATTCAAGTTTGTTCAAGTCATGACCCCCGGGGGTAGGGCGGGGCCAAAATGGCCGATCAAAGTTTTACATAGGAATATATAGGAAAAAAATGGCCGATCAAAGTTTTACATAGGAATATATAGGAAAAATCTTTAAAAATCTTCTTCTCAAGAATTTTACCATTGAAACAGGAAAGATGAAACTCATGTGAAATTATCCTCAGGTAGTGTAGATTCAAGTTTGTTCAAGTCATGACCCCCGGGGGTAGGGCGGGGCCAAAATGGCCGATCAAAGTTTTACATAGGAATATATAGGAAAAATCTTTAAAAATCTTCTTCTCAAGAACCATTGAAACAGGAAAGATGAAACTCATGTGAAATTATCCTCAGGTAGTGTAGATTCAAAGCACAAAAAAAGGAGGCAATCTGCCCAAACTCGAAAATCCTCTTTCGTGGACGGGGGAGGGGGGGGTAGTGGCCAACTTTTTCAAGACCAACTTCCTTTCACATCCAATTTTTGGGGAATACAATACTACATTTCCTTCATATCACTGTTCTGTGGTAAGAAGTGGGGGGACCAACCAACCTTTCAATGGATATTTTCAATAGTAAAGGTAATGTTGGGAAGAAATTTGGGCCCCCCCCCCCCCCCCCCCCCCGTTGCTACGTGCCTGCGATATTTTATATTTTCCGCTTTCGTCAAGTTTTAGATATGGGCCCTTTACATTAGAGCATGCACTCGGTATATACATGACTGAACATTACACGGCGCCAAGTCAAATGTACATGTATTTCGACGTAAACCTCGAACATGCTAAAGTAAAAAAAAATACTAGCAATCTTCATATACTGTGGAGGAACAATCTCTAAAATTCGATTGACAAAAAACGGAAGGAGTGGTATAATAGACAAGGAATTGATTATCTGCCAAGTTATCATGTCTAAAAAAAAAAATCTCAGTTGGGATGGGGTATGTCCCGGAAATCCCCCCTCTACATCCGCGCATGATATCTTGTCTTAAAAAATACTTACTCAAGAATGCATTCATTTACTTCCAGTTGTCCCTTTTCTAATAAATCTTTATATCAAAATTGTTTCCATTACATATTTATTCAAACATTAAAACCTCAGTGTCCATGCACGCAAGTGACTGTTCCTCAATTTTCTGCCCGCAGTTTTGTTTTCCTCCAGCACTTATTTTCTCCTGTGCTGGCGTCTTGACATAGTTACCACAAGAGCATTATGAAATCAGAATGTATACTTAAAATAGTTTTGTTTTCTTTTTTCTAAACTAAATTAGGGTGAAATCATTCATATTAAAATATTTTTAGAATAAAAGCGCTATGTGACAAAGATTTTCAGGTCTGTATGAAGCAATTAATATCCATTGAGGGGGACAACAAAGAACTGTTACTTCG